CCTAACTTTCGGGGGGGGGGGGGGCCTCGACCTCCCCCCCAAAGTGTCGGAGGTACCCTCAAAATGATGGAGGGGCTCTACTCAGAGTACGTCTGCCGATGTCCTGACCAGCAGGGCCCAGAGCCAGCAGACGTGGACACGGGCGAGAAGGGAGGAGGGACGAAGAGGACAAGGACTGGCAATGCAGTTTCAATCATAGAATGCGCAGGCAGTGACTGACATGGGCTTAGATGGCAACCAACAGCGAAGGCTATGAGAGAGAGGATTGAAGAAGAGAAAGATGAAGGGAGGAGGAAAAGAGGGAAAGAAGCAGAACGAGAACGAGGACAAGGATGAAGGTGAAAAGAGGAGGGGGCGACGGGGAGGAAGTGACGAGGACAAAGAGAAGGACGACAACAAAGAGAAGGACGAGGAAGAGAGAGGAGGCGAGAGGGAATGACGAAGACCGGAGCAGCGACATGGGGAAGAGGGAGGGGCGTAGGGTCGAGCAAGGACAGATCAACAGGGAGGAGGACGAGGGAAGGAGCGAGGGGGGAAGTCAAGGAGGCAGGAGGAAGGAGGGAGACGAACGAGGAAGGCAGAGGAAGGGGAGGAGGAAAAAGAGGAGGAGGAACTGAGAGGAAGCAGGGCAGGAGGACGAGGCCGAGGCCACTGAGGAGGAGCACAGGGAACCGCAGCGGCAGCAGCAGCAGCAGGAGGAGCCCGCAGTGGGAGGAAGTGCAGGCCAGGGAGCAGGGAGGCCCTCCCGCGGCCCCGCCCACCGGGCACGCGGACGGAGGGCGGCTCTAGCACCCCCTCCAACGCCCGGCCGACACCGGCGCCTGGCCGCCACCCCATCTCCTCGGCAGGGGGCAGAGCGGGGGGGGGGCCCGCGGGGAGGCGGCGGAGGCGCCGGCTGCTGCAGGGGCGCCCGGCCGTGCCTGCCGTGCTCCGCACTCTGCCCATGCAGTCGACGCGCTGCCAGAAGGAACGCCAAGGAAGGAGCGAAGGGCAGCGAGGGGGCTTTTCTGGCCACGGCGGGCCCAGGCCGCAAGCAGGCTCCCCGACCCAGCCCGACGTGGTCCCTTCTTGCAGCGAGCTGACTGTACCGAGCCCATGTGGCGCGCTGCCACTGCTTGGCCACATGCGCCTGTGACAAGGCATGCGGTCGGAGTTCCCCGCGCAGACGTTCAGGGGAAGGAGGATGCGAAGGAGAAGGTGCCGTGGGCCTCACACGGCGCTTGATAGACAAACTACCATGACGGGCGAAGGCATCGCACAACCACACCGCGGCACGATGAGTAAGCCAACTCGCACAAGTCAGTGGCTGAACCACGGGGCACAGCCCTCTCCCTCCTGGCGACCTGCCTTCGTGACACCAGAATTCGAACTGTGCGATTTCCAGCCTGCTTCGCCCAGCCAGCGGAGACCAAGCTCAGCTTGCCTCGGAAACCATCCACTGCCCTTTCCCAAGAAGACCGGTCAGCCCCATCGTGAGTATGATCCCAGTGATGTGTTGCTGCGCACTCTATGACAGCGACGTAGCGAACCGAACATTTTTCTGAGGTAACTGTTGCAAGTGCATCCCCTTCGAACAGGGGGCTTCCAACGACCCGACTAGCATAATCTCGATGACGAACCAGTGCTAACCAATCGAAAAGACGGCGACATGTTCACGTCAACCGACTAAGTCGCATTCGAAAGTTTACTGACCGAGTTGTGCCCCCAAGCAGCCAGCGACGCCAGTGGAGACCTATGTCGGCGAACCCCCCAGCCAGAGGAGGGAGGAAGAGAAGAGCAGGAGGTCCGAGATGTCCTAAGAAGTGGCTTCAGCCCAAACACTGAGTGCGTCACAACCTCTCGGCCATGCTAGCTGAGCTGCGAGCCAGGAAAGAAAGAGTACGAATAGGACAGGAGAAAGAGAAAGAGGTTATGCGCAACAGGGGGAAGGAAGCAGGAATAGGACGCAGAAGGACCTGGTCTAGTACTGTGCGCCCCCCCTTGCAGGCGCAGGAGCGAACCGACCATACAGCACAAACATACTGCAATATTATGTTACCCAGGCGGTGTGGCCAGAGAGAGCCCGCCACCGAGCATACACTAGAAGATGTCTGAGCGCGCGCGTCAGCCCTGAGGGGCCGACGCACACATGGTGCTAGAACACCATCGCGCTCGCTTCGCGAGCGCTCGATTTCTAGTCGGTCCACACGCCCATGGGCACTCGTAGTCCAGTCGCGTCCTCTTCGCTTCTCAAGCTGCTTCGGGGCTGTTTTGCAGGCTTCTGGATTTGGCACCTTGGCCTTAGGGTTTGCATGTTCATCTCAACCGTTGAATCTGCATGAACACCTCAGCCTTAAAAACTGACATGGGCACTCAAATCTGAAAAATCTATATATATATATATATATATATATGTGTGTGTGTGTACTAGAACCATCGCGCGCGCTTCGCGCGCGCGCTCAGGCTCTAACAGGCCCCAGGCCTTGACGAGTTCACTGCTCCACTGAAGTGTTGTACTACAAATGGTTGGAAAACGGGAGGTGAAGAAGCGCCCATGACGCTGAACGCATTATAAGCAGTGAGAAATCCATGCGTGTCAGTCCGCATTCCGGAAGGCTTTCGGGGAAGATGGTTGCGTCGGTGGGGGAAGGCCTGATGAATCGGGTTCCCAGAAGGCCTTCTGGGAACATGGGTTTGGGGGGCGTCTTGGGCCGCCTGTTGCGGCGTGCCGTCGTCGTCGTAATGTCGTCGTCGCCTCTTGGGCGCGCGCCATCGTCATCGGCGTCATCGTCGTTCTCGTCTTCGTCGTTTCGTCGTTTTCGTCGTCGGTTCAAGAAGGCACTTGGGGCAACTTTGTGCGAAACGATCCGCGAAGGGCCGCGAGAAGGCGATCAATCATGTTCCCAGCCAACTTCCCAGACAGCCCTCCAGTAGCGCGATGGTACTTTGGAGCCTCCGGAGACTCTCGGGCCCATGATGAACCATGTCCCCGGAACGCTTTCTGGGGACATGATTTCTTGGGATGTGTTGGGGGGGCTCATGGGGGGTCGTTCCCTGGGGGCTTCTTGGGGGGCCTTTTGAAGCTTCCTGGGGGCCGTCTGGGCGCCTCACGGGGTTTCGTGGGAGCCTCTTGGTGGCCTCCAGGGGCCTTACTGGGGGCCTGCAGGACCAAAGACCTTGAGATTTCGGTTCGCGGTCCCCCTCGGGGCCCCCTCTTGAGGCGCTCTTGGAGCACACTTGGGTGGTCTGGGGGGCCTCCTGGGCCGTTTGGGGGCCCTCCTCGGGGCCCCGCGGGCCGACTTGGAGCGATCTGAAGGGCCTCCGAGGCCGTGAGGGAGCGCCGGGAAGCGGGAGACCTGAGAACGCCAAAATCCTTGAAAAACCCTCTGACGAGAAATTAATGTTGTCTCCCAGGGCCCTCTTGGGGAGCCTCTCTCTTGGGCCGTCTTGGGGCCCTCTTGAGTCCTCTTGGGCCGTCTTGGAGCGGTTGGAGGAGCCTCTTGGGCGGTGCTTTTGCGCCAGAAACACGAAACAGCGAGAATGCAAACAAAACAAAAAAAATGTTGTCCTCTCGGGGCGCTCTTGGGCGGCATCTTAAAGGCCTGCTGGGGCGTCTTGGGGGCCGCCGGGGCAATTTAAAACGCATCGTGCGGCCTCTTGGGGGCTTCGTGGGGCCTCCTGGGGGCTTCCTGGGGGCCTCTTGGGGCCTCTTGCAGCCATCTTGGGGCGGAGAGCTTGATTTTTCAGTTCGCGTTCCCTCTCTTGGGCCTCTCTTGGGGCCTTCTTGGGACCCTCTTGCGCCGTCTTGGGCGTCTCTGAGGCCGTCTCGGGGCTCTCTTGGGCCGTCTTGGGGCCCTCTTGGGGGCCTCTTGGGCCGTCTTGGAGTGGTTTGGAGAGCCTCTTGGGCGGTGCTTTAGCGCTGGAAACACGAAACAGCGAGAATGCAAACAACATTGGAAAAACACACATGACAATCAACGATGTTGCCCTCTCGGGGCGCTCTTGGGCGGCATCTCAAAGGCCTCTTGGGGCGTCTTGGGAGCCTCCGGGTCAATGTAAAACGCAGCGTGCGTCGCCAGAGACCCCCGGACGGCGTCTTGGGGATGTCTCGAGACCGTCTGGGGCCGCGGGGATTGCTGTCTGAGGGCTCCCCGGGGCGATTTTAGGCCTCCCAGAGGCGGGCCTGGGCCCCAGTGCCCACATTTGCGGTCGAGGTTCTGGCCCTCGGCCCCTGGGCCCGGAGCGCCGTGAAATATGCACATGTACATATATATATACACACACGTACATTCATTCATTCATTCATTCATTCATTCATTCATTCATACTACATACATACATACATACATACATACATACATACATACATACATACATACATACAAACATACATACATACATACATACATACATACATACATACATACATACATGCATGCATGCATGCATGCATGCAGACAGACAGACAGACAGACAGACAGACAGACAGACAGACAGACAGACAGACAGACAGACAGACAGACAGACAGACAGACAGACAGACAGACAGACAGACAGACAGACATACGCACATACATAAATGAATATATACATATATATATACATATATATATATATATATGTATTCGCATGTTGGGGTGACACCGAGCCCAGGGCTGCGGAATGATGCGAGACTCCAGCCGCCCTTGCGCGTCTGAAGCCGCAGCGCGCTGGGGACGCCAGCCGACGCCAGAGTTCGAATCCACACGAGGCGGCGGGAGGGCTCCAAGAGGTCCAGGAGACGAGCAGAGGAGGTGGACTCAAAGCCCGCTCCTTCAGCATCTTCACGCCGAGGCCGTACATGCGCTCCAACTGCTCCGCGCCGCCCTCGCCGGACAGAAACCTGCCCGCTAAAGGGAGCCAAAAGGAGCGCCACATCCAGGAGACGGGCAGCGAGCCTGGCAGAGCAAGCAGCAGTCCAGACTGTTGAAGTCTGGCTGTTCGGGCGCACTGCCCTCGCAAGGCCTGCAGTTGGGCGAGAAGACCGGGGGCCCAAAGCAAATGTGCGGAGGAGCACGGCTGCAAAGGCCCCTTCTGGCATCAGCGCCAGAAATCGCCCAACTCACGTAACAGGGACATCAGAGACGGGGCCCAGGGACACACTAATAAATAGACACAAATCCCAGGATTCCCTTACGCTTCCATATTTTCTGGACTTCCGTCTTCCCCCCACTTCCCCTATGTTCCCATATTTTCCTGGGAATCGACGATTCTTTGTGCTGTGTGTGTTATTCTCTCCTGAATCCCACCAGCCCCCTGGGCGTACTGTGGTCTAGGAAGGTTCCTCTTCCAAACCCCCTCCTCTCCTTTGGGGAGGGGCTTACCCCTTCCCCCTACCCCCTCCCCTGGACCTGGACGGGGCGCCCGACGAGGTGTCAGAGGGTAGTCTTTCGCCCCAGACGACTCCAGAGGGCCTCAGATCAGAGAGCCCAAGATGACCCCCAAGATGGCTCAAGATAGCCCAAGAGGCCTCAAGTCGGCGGCTCCCAAGATGCTCCAAAAATCCCCAAGAATGCTCCAAGACGGCTCCAAGACGCATCCGAGACATCCAAGGAGGCCGCCAAGAAGCCAATATCCTAACAAAACCAAAAGAAAATCAATGATGTTTGCTTTCTCGCCTTTGCGCTTCCGCTGGCCATCCGAGGCGGCCTCAAGATGGCTCCAAGATGTCCCACGAGGGCCCCAGGAGAGACCCAAGAGAGCACCAAGACGGCCCCAAGAGCGCCCAATAGCGTTCCAAGAGCGTCCTAAGAGAGCCCCAGGAGGCGAATTTGGGAGCTCCCTTCTTGGGGGGCGGGGAGGCGAATTAGGGAACCCCTCTTCTTTGATCGAGATCCTCCAAGATGGCCCCAAGAGCACTCCTAAGGCTCCCAAGAGCGCCCCAAGAGGGCCCCAAGAGGCGCCCAGACGGCCCTAAGAGGCGTCCAGGAAGCCTCCAAGAAGCCCCCAAGAGACCCCCAAGAGGCCTCAAAAGGATGCCCGAGACACCCAAGACGCTCAGAGACGGCCCTGGGCTCGCGAAGATGCCCCTCCTCCTCATCCTCCTCATCCTCCTTCTCCTCCTGTTCCTCCTTGTCCACTGTCTCTTCCTCCTTCCTCCTCCTCGCCCTCCTCCTTCTCCTCCTCATCCGTCTCCTCCACCATCCTGCCACTCCTCGGATATCCGACGGCTTCCCCCGCCCTTTGTTCTTCTGCATGCAACCCCGCTTCCCAGATCACCTCAACTCCCCTGGGCATCGTTTCTGGATGGGCTGGTTGGGATACGCCAAGCGTCAACAATTAAGGATGCGCGCGACCAGGCGCCTTTTCCGTCCCAACGCTAAACCTCATCCGCTCTCCCCGGCTCTGTTTGCGTGTGTCTCTCTCTCTCTCTCTCTCTTTATCACTCTCTCGGGGACCACCCAACTGGTAGGGGCGCCTCATGGAACTGAAAGCTAGGGGGTGGGATGCGGAGAGTCCTGCTCTCCGAAGTCCACAAAGCCTTCAGTGAGCGAGGAACAAGATTCGTTCGAGCAGGGGCGGGGGGCGCACGCAAGTCGCAGAGGACAGCAGCAGTAATTAGCTGGCGCTGGTCCCCATCTCTTCCTCCTCCTCCTCCTCCTGCTCCTCCTCCTTCTCCTCCTCCTCCTTACCCTCGCTCGCTCTTCTGCATCCCGTCTTCGTCAGCATCATCAGCTTCAGCATCAACATAATCATCATCAGCAGCAGCATCATCAGCACAATCATCCTCCTCCTCCGCCTCCTCCTCCTCCGCATCAGCATCATCATCAGTATCAACATCAGCATCATCATCATCATCAGCATCATCATCAGCAGCAACAACATCATCATCACCATCGTCGTCAGTATCATCATCAGCAGCATCATCATCAGCAGCAGCAACATCATCATCAGCAGCATCGCCATCAGCAGCAGCATCATCCTCATTATAATCATCATCACCAGCAGCACCCTCATCATCATCGTCAGCAGCAGCAGCATCAGCAGCATTAGCATCAGCATCATCATCATCATCATCAGCAGCAACAGCCGCAGCAGCAGCAGCAGCACGATCATCCTCATCATCGTCATCAGCATCAACATCAGCATCATCAGCATCATCAGCAGCATCACCATCATCATGGACACCACCACCACTGCCACCGCCACCACCACCCTGATCATCACACTCACCACCATCACCACCACCGCCACCACTATAACGCATCAGCATCAACAACATCATCATCATCATCATCATCATCATCAGCATCATCATCATCATCGTCATCATCATCATCATCAGCAGCAGCATCATCAGCAGCATCATCATCGTCATCAGTATCATTATCAATATCAGCATCAGAATCATCGCCCGCATCAGCATCATCAGCAGCATCAACAGCGGCATCAGCATCAGCATCAGCATCAGCATCATCATCATCATCATCAGCATCATCAGCATCAGCATCATCACCATCAGCATCATCACCATCAGCATCATAATCAGCAGCAGCAGCAGTATCATCATCATCATAAGCATGATCGTCATCATCATCATCATCATCATAATCATCATCATCATCATCATCATCATCCGACGCAGCATCATCATCATCAGCAGCATATCATCAGCATCATCAGCATCATCGTGATCAGAATCTTCATTATTCTCAGCATCATCATCAGCAGCAGCAGCATGGGCATCATCATCATCATCATCATCATCATCATCATCATCATCATCATCATTATCGTCAGCAGCATCATCAGCATCATCACAATTCACCTCGTCAGAATCACCACCACCACCACCACGACACTCACCACCACCACCACCACCACCGCCATCACCATCATCACCACCACCACATGCATCACCGCCACCACCAGCATCATCAGCATTAGCATCAGCATCAACATCATCAACATCATCATCATCATCATCATCATCATCATCATCATCATCATCATCATCATCATCATAGTCATCATCGTCATCATCATCATCATCATCATCAGCATCAGCATCATCATCATCATCGTCAGCAGCATCATCAGCAGCAGCATCATCGTCATCAGTATCATTATCAATATCAGCATCAGCATCATCGCCCGCATCAGCATCATCAGCAGCATCAACAGCGGCATCAGCATCAGCATCAGCATCATCATCATCAGCATCATCAGCATCAGCAACATCACCATCAGCATCATCACCATCAGCATCAGAATCAGCAGCAGCAGTAGTATCATCATCATCAAAAGCATGATCGTCATCATCATCATCATCATCATCATCATCATCATCCGACTCAGCATCATCAGCAGCATATCATCAGCATCATCAGCATCATCGTGATCAGCATCTTCATCATTCTCAGCATCATCATCAGCAGCAGCATAGGCATCATCAGCATCATCATCATCATCATCATCATCATCATCATCATCATTATCGTCAGCAGCATCATCAGCATCATCACAGTTCTCCTCGTCAGAATCACCACCACCACCACGACACTCACCACCACCACCACCACCGCCATCACCATCATCACCACCACATTCACCACCGCCACCACCAGCATCATCAGCATTAGCATCAACATCATCATCATCATCAGCATATCATCATCATCAGCATCGTCGTAATCATCATCATCGTCGTCATCGTCACCGTCACGAATGCCTCGACGAGAGTGGCGAAGCTTTGGAGTATACGCAGAATCGCAAGGGATCGGTGTCGCAGCATCGCGCCGAGGGATTACACACGAGCTCTCGAAAGACACGAGGTTGGTCGGCAAGATGATGCCTGAGCTGAAGCACCTCGGCGGCATGTTTTCTCCTACTGGCAGTAACGTGGCTGAACGACGTGAGCGTATTGTGGCAATCAATTGGGCTTGGAATCAAGTAAGCGGATGTTGGAGTTCTCAGGACGGGTGGCGTCCGAGGCGTTTGCTTCTCGGAGGTTGCATTCATAGTGCTGCTACCTCTGGTGGCGAGAGCTACTTGTACACGAAGGCGGACTGCCAGGCGCGGCAAGATGCGGTCCATGCTGGAGAGGAGGGCCCACACCGAGGTCCACGGCGTGAACAAGTCGTGGCCCACCCTCAATGTATGGCGGTACTGAAGACTTACTCCCATCGCGCTCGAGCTCACTGTACGCAGATTGTGCCGGTGGCGAGACATGATGTGCGAGATCACTCAACATCTTCATTTTCCGGCAGGCATTTTCGGAACACTCGATGTGGAAGGCGAGGCCAATCACAACATCCCCATTTTGGACGAGAACGGCGTGATCAACCGAGGCGCGGACATAGACCCATGTGCGAAGCAGCTGTTCGACGACATCGAAGTTCTTCTTGGATTGGACCTGGCCTCTGATCGCAGGGATATGTTGGTACCTCGCAGCATCAAGATATTGATCGAGAACGAGGAGGTACGTGACATGCACACAGCACTGGACCCACGTACGCTTAGAGGGGCATTTTCCAAAGCAATAACATCCGACGGGTACACCTCTGGAGCCGTTGCTACCACAGGAGCACGAGATCACAGGGGTCGAGGGCGCCAAGCTGCACAAGTGCGAGATTGTACTGGAGGACGGGTCGAAATGTGGCCGCAACTTCGCCACGGTCTCCACGCTGAAAGCCCATCAGACGCACCGCCAGGAACCTAGCCACAAGATGCGCAGTGTTTTATCCTTCCTGGTCGTGGACTACATGTGCGAGGCGGTGTTTCGCAGTCGGGATCACTGTTCTCGGCATGGTTTGTCTGCACTCTGTTCACTGATCACTGTTCTTGGACTGCACGCCGTTGCGTGCGGTCAAACACGGGCGCAGCTTTGGCAGTACAGACCGCCAGACGCCAGACACGCTCGAATGTACGATGTGCAGAAAGCCTTGTCCTCCTCCGTCTTCGTCCCTCGGCATCGCATCCGTCGTCGTCGACTCTGATGAAGGCCCCTTAGTGGAGCAGGATACCGTAGACATCACCGAAACATCAAGCCGAGCGTCGTCAGCAACACCCTCAGCTAGAGCAGCGACTACGACAAACGGCAAGCAGAGAACCACGACAAGCAGCGAGCAAACAGTAAGCCAGAAAACGATGAGCCAGCAAATGACCGTATTTAGGCCGAGAGGGCGCCGAAAACTGAAGGAGCAACGAAAACCAGAAGGGCGAAGAAAACCAAGAAGGCGCTGAAAACCGGAGCCGCGCCGAACACAAAAAGATGCGCCGGAAACCATACAGCGCCGAAAACCAAGAGGACACCGAAAACTGAAAGGGCGCCGAAAACCCAGAGGGCGCCACATACCAAAGGTGCGCCGAACACCCAAGAGGCGCCGAAAACCAAACAGAGCGCCGAAAACCAAGGGGGCGCCGAAAACCAATGATCCACCGAAGCCAAAATGGCGCCGAAAAAACAATGATGCGCCGAAAACCGAAATGGCGCCGAAAAACCAAAGGGGCGCCGATAACCAACAGGACGCCGAAAATGAAAGGGGCGCCGAAAACAGCAGAAGCTCCGAAGACGGACAGGGCGCCGAAAACAAAAAAGGCACCGATAACCAAAGGGGCGCCAAAACCGCAGGAGCGCCGAAAACCAAAGAGGCGCCGAAAACAAAAGGGGCGCCGAAAACCAACGATGCGCCGAAAACCAAAAGGGCGCCGAAAAACCGAAAGGGCGCCGACAACCAACAAGGCGTCGAAAACCGAGGGGCGCCGAAAACCAAAGAGCGCCAAAAACTAAAAGGGCGCCGAAAACTCAGGGGGCGCCGAAAATCAAAAGGCGCCGAAAATCAAAAGGCGCCGAAAACCAAAGGAGCAACGGAACCCATGAAGGCGCCGACGACCAACGAAGCGCCGAAAACCAAAAAGCGCGCAGATAACCAAAAAGGGCGTCGAAAACCAAAAGAGCGCCGGAAACAAAAGGTGCGAAGAAAATCCGCCGACCCCTTGGGGATCATCGGCGTGTGAGATGCTCCCCCCTCCCCAAACCTCTCCCCCAGGAGCCCGGTCTGGTCGATTTGGGGGGGGGGTTGCCCCCGACGAGCGACTCACGGGCTCTTCTGGGCCCAAGAAGGCCTAAAGATGGGCCAAGAAGGCCCCAAGAGGCCTCCAAGACGGCCCACGAGGGCCCCGAGACGCCAAACCAGCGCTCCAAGACGCCCAAGATGACCCCACGACGGGCCAAGAGGCCCCGAAGACGGCCCAAGAGGTCCCAAACAAGCCCCCTCAGGAGCCCCAGGGGGCCCCAAGAGTGCCCCAAGAGGCCGCCAGAGGCTTCCAAGAGGCCCCCAAGACGCCCCGAGGAACCCCCAAGAAGCCCCCCAGAGGCTCCGAAACGGCCCCAAGACGGCCCAAGAGGTCCCCAAGACGGCCCAAGAGGGCCCCAAGACGCCACCAAGAGGGGCCCAAGAGAGCCACCAAACATTCAAAACATCTAGCTTTCTGCCCCCAGGACCACCAGGGAGCCCCAAGAGTGCCCGAAGAGGCCGCTAGAGGCCCCCAAGAGGCCCCCAAAACGCCCCAAGGACCCCCCAAGAAGCCCCTCTGAGGCTCCGAAACGGCCCCCAAGTGGTTTCAAAACCGCATTCGACAGGCCTCCGAGAGCCGTGCCGCGAGATCCCAATACACATCCAAGAAGCCTCTAAACCATAACCCATGACCAAGAGCATTCCTTCCGTGTCCCTCTCCTTCTCCTCACCCTTCTTTTCCATCCTGGTCCATAAGTGGCTTCAAAACAGCCTTCCAGAGGCCATGGAGAGGCGTGCCGCGAGACCCCCATACACATACAACAAGCCTCTACTCAGGGTCTCCCTTGTCCTCCTCCTCCTCCTCCTCCTCCTTTTCTTGCTCCGCTTCCTCCTCGTTCCTCTCCTCTTCTTCCTGCCCCGCTTCACCTTATCCTCTTCGATGCTTATTCTCCAAATTTCCCGCCTCACCGCCCATCCTTTTCCCCCGTCCTCCTTTTTCTCCCCAGTACGCGCACCCGAGTGGGCATCATGTGCATGCCTTGCACTTCAGGGTGCCCTTCTTTGCGTCGCGCGGGACATTGTGCGGGTCGAGGTACGCAGACTTTGGTAAACGTCTCTTGCACGGGTCGTTACACTGATACGCCTGGCAACTGCGCGCTGTGAACCCGAGTGCCTTACAGGCTCCGTGCACCACGTTGGCTCCTTTTGCCTGTCGATGATATTCCACTTGCTTCTGCTTCAAATGTTTCGTTTCCGAGAACGCTCCTCCGCACGCCGCGCACGTCAGCCAACCGCGGGCGCGGGCCACGAAAACCGTAAGCGCTACTCTATTTGTTGGCACCAAAACAAGAATCTGCGCTGGAACCGCGGAAGGAACCGCTGCTCCGCTACCATATATGGGCGGCGTGAAAATCGCCGACCCCTTGGGGATCATCGGCGTGTGTGATGTGTCGCCCTCCACAAACCCCTCCCCCCAGAGCCCAGTCGGGTCGATTAATTGCGCACGTTGGTGGCCGACCCGCTAGCAACCAATACTGCGCCACTCAACGGAACAACGCGCAAGGAACACTAACACATGACACTTTGAGACCCCCCTCACCCCACCCCTACCCGGAAACGCACACGATCACCACAAAGCCTGCATCTGCAGCCGGACTGCCCAGGGACCGCCCCGCAAAAAAAACTACGCACCCAAACCAAGCACCCCAAGGGGTCGGCGGTGTGGCGTAAGCCAGAGAATCAAAACGGCGCCGAAAACCAAGGGAGCGCCGAAAACCAAAGGGGCGCCAAAGGCCCAAGGGGCGCCGAAAATTAAGACGGCGCCGAAAAACAAAGAGACGCCGAAAACCACAACTACGCCGAAGACCAACGGCGCGCCGAAAACCAGAGAGGAAAAGTAGCTTCGAGACCCCCCCCCCTTCAGCCAGGGCCCACCAGCTGGCCCCCTCCCCCCTCTGTTACAAAAGGAGGGGAGGGGGGTAGCTTCGGAAGCCCTCCCCAACATTAGAAAGGAGAGCCCGGGCTTACCCCAGGCCCGAAAAGGAGGGGGGGTAGCTTCCAAGCCCCCCCCCCCTCCTCCAGCCGGGGACCCCCCAGCTACAAAATCCAATCAAAAGGAAGGTGGGGGGAGGGTAGCTTCGAAGCCCCCGCTCCCCTTTGAAAGGGGAGCCTGGGCTGACCCCAGGCCCCGAATGGGGGGGGTAGCTTCTCAGCCCCAGCCCCCCCCCCAGCTAAAAAATCACCACAAACTTGATACAAAAGGGGCGGAAGGGGGGAGCTTCGGAAACCCACCCCCTTTCTAACGGACGGGGGTAGCTTGAAGCTGTGGCCCCCCTTTTACTGAGAAGTGTGCCACGAGCGCGATCGGTCCCCCCCTCCTCCTCCTCCTCCTCCTCCTCCTCCTCCTCCTCCTCCTCCTCCTCCTCCTCCTCCTCCTAGCTTCAGACACACACCCCATAATGAACGTTGAGGCGATTCCAAGACTGACGATCCACCAGCGGTCGGCACCTCAGGCTTGCCATGTTCGGCCGCCGATGCATGTCGCGAGCCTATGCGGGGTATTGGCGGCGATGAGCAGCCTTCTTCGAGCTGTAGTGTAAAACCCTTTCTCTCTATGCTCCACTGGTCGTGCTGCAGAGATTTGTTCTTAATTGGACTGTGATATTATGATGATGCCAGGAACGTGTATTAAGGAGTGGGAGGGACGGGACTACCACACTGAGGATGTGGGCAAGCACTTCACAGCAATACATTTTGGATGGAAGCGAGCACCCTACAGTGACAGCAGTGCATGCATATGTAATATATTGGGCCGTTGATTTCGGGCGGGACACGTTTACTATGTTGTTCCTGGGCCGCGCAGTTTCGCTGGACGATATGGGGAAAGCCGACGGAAATCTGGACTTCTGGACGTCACGGTTATCTGTGCCTACCCTCCCCCACTACACGGAGCAGGACGCAAACGACCAGCCTGCAGTCAATGCGATGAAACACGTTCGTAGTCGAGTCGAGCAATGCCAGGCTAGGAGTACTCCAATCTTGGGATTAGACATCAACTCGGGCTTCGGACTCCTGGAGGACGGCCCCCCAATGGACCCCGACGAGAACAACCCAGGCCCCTATACCACCTCAAGAAGAATGGCCCCGCGGGCGCAATCTTCATGGAAATGCTTCAGGAACTGGACCTCATGGCCACTGGGACCTACACGCTTCGATCAGGACCGACATATGTTGGTGCCCAGGGCGACAAGTCCACTTTAGACATCTTCGCGATCCAGAAGGGCCTGGGACCTGGAGTCAGACAATGCCGAGTTGCTTGGAGAGAGGGCCGCCTTCTACAGCTGATCCCGAAAAGCACCCCTCGGGACCACCTCCCTGTGATTCTGGAGCTCCTACATGAGAGCCCCGTGCTCATTCCCCGCGATGGCAAGCCGCGCTGGGACCACACGAAGCTTGCGGAAGCTCTCCAAACAGGATCGGGTAGGGAAGCATTCCATAGGGACCTCGAGCAAGCCATGCAGGACCGAGACTCGCACTTTACCGAGTGCAGGGAATCCCACCAGCACACTGATCACTCCTATGATTCTTGGGCCGAGGAGGTACAACGGATCGGTCTCAAACACTGTGGCGCTACTGCGCAAAACGCCGACACGGCAGAGCGACGCCTCCAACAACATCGACTGGAACTGGTTCGGCAACGACGGACACATCGCGAGGAGGCTGCTGCTTTCTTCTCGACGACGCACACCTAGAGG